CTGCTGCAGACTCCCCGCTTCTCCTCCAGAGCCCCCCCTGACTCCCCATTGCAGACCCTCTATTTCTTCAACAGAGCCCCCAGCACTCCCATTGCATCCCCCCAGCTTCCCTGCTGCAGACCCCTCCAGTTTCCCCACTGGACACCCCAGTACCCTGAGTGCAGACCCCAGTTCCTCACCAGACCTCCCCAGTGACCCCATTTCAGAACCCCAGTCGCTTGCTGCAGACCCCAGTTCCCCGACAGTTCCCCCGGTTCCCTGTCAGGGCTGAGCCAGCGACAGGCTGTGTGTTTTGGGGATGGAAGGAGAGACACCCCCCCAGTGCAGCTCAGCTGGGTGCTGGCGGGGGATGAGGAGCAGCCAGTGCTGGGGCAGAGGGCAGAGCCCCTGGGGAAGCTCTCCAGGGCTCCTCCAGGGCACTGACCCAAGGCAGCTGTGCCGGTGCAGCAGGAAGGTGTCCTTATCCATGCGAGGGGGCAGCCAGGGCTTGGGGGGACAAGAGGAAAAATAACCCCCAGTGGGAGGGTAACCTGACTCTGCTGCGAGCTCCCACAAAGACCTTTCCTATGTCGCTTTAGCAGCAACCTGGTAGCATCCTCGCTGCGTCCGGCACAGTGTGCTGGAGCAGTGGGAAGGGAAGGTGCTGTGGTCCTCAGATGAGTCCCTTCCCTGCCACAGCCAGGACAGCGGTCTCTTCCCTCCCCCAGATGACAGACATCAGCATGGTTCTGTTCCACTTTATTTCATAGGCAGAGCTGGGCTCTTTGGAAAGCCGGGGCTCCCCTTCTCCTCCAGAGTCCTGCATGTCTCTAATCTGGGCACAAACGTGTCTTTGAGGGACAGAGCGGTGAGCCCCCAAAAGCCAAGGAGTAATTGTGGTCTCTCTCTCTGTCTTTCTCTCTCTTCTCCCCCAAGGAACTGGCCAAATACTTCTTGGCAGAACTGCTCTCAGAGCCAAGCCAGACAGAAAATGAAGCCCTGGAGTCTGAGGACTTGTCCCGAGGGGCTGAGCAGGACGAAGTGAGACTGGAGCTGGAGCGCTCGGCTAACTCAAACCCCGCTCTTGCACCCCGGGAACGCAAAGCGGGCTGCAAGAACTTCTTCTGGAAAACTTTCACATCCTGTTAGCTTTTGAAACCCACCTCTCCTCCCCATCCATCCCTGCCTTCTTCCTAGCCCCCCGCCCTGAGCAGAACCTTCACCACAAGAGGCGAAGACTGTAAATATACAATCCACAGTTATGGTGAAATTAAACAAACACGGAAAATTTGAGTTTGATTTCCAGTTGTTTTAATAAAAATTTCTGTTCCAATTGTACATGATTTGCTTGAGTTGTGATTTCTGACTAGTTCTTTAATGACATCATGCGCTCTGCAACTCTTTCAGATGTACTATTTTTAATTCTTTGTTGCAATAAAGTTTATGTTTCAAACGGTGATGCTGAGATTTGGTGGTCAATGAGAAAACCTAAATCACCTCTCTCAGACAGCTCATCTTTGAAATGCCACCCGTCTCAGGGCAGCAGGCAGCATCCGCAGACACGCATATGCACGCGAACACAGCATCTCTTAAAGCTAATTTTTTTTTTTGCTGTGGTCTTTCTAAGGGACCTAGAGACACAGTTGTCTGTGTGGCTGAGTCAAATCCACAGCACTGGCACTTCAGTCAGTCTGGAGGATTTACATCCAGAGACACCACTATAAATCACAGCTGCGTGTTACAAGCGATGGGGATCATAAAAGCGGTTCATGGTACACGTTTACCCCACACATACCTTATTTCCTCCTCAGCCACAAACACCTAAAAGCTTTCTTGCCTGGCATATTTTGTTCCTTGCAACAGCTGTGACAAACACTGCTCCTGGGATTCCTTTGGAAAGATTTCCTTTGTTCTGCTGCCCAGGGGGAGGTTTCGCATCCCTGTAAAGCTGAAAAGTTAACCCCATGCCGTCAGCCCCTCTCCATCCAGTAAACAGGTTACAGCCGTTTTTCTCCCTGCTACGTTGTCATTAAAAGCAGTATTACAAGGTTCAGCGGGAAAAAGACATGCTTCTCTCAACAGAGGAGAAATTCTTTGTGCTTTTGCAGAGTCTATTCCCTTTCCAGCTGTGCAGGTTTGTGACATGCACTCGGGGGTGGGTTGGAGCATCCTGTATAGGGGACAGGTGTCACTTTGATGAGAAATTCATCACTGGGTGCTAAAGGTGACAAATATTTTGTAGCCATCGTATGTGAAGGAAAGGTGAAAAATAGGAGATCTTAGAGATGTTCATGGGCAGAGGGCTGAGCACGACCCCCCGTGGAGGTGGATTTCCCAGCTGAGGGCACGTTAAGTCACGTCTGGTTTGTGGTGAGCACAGATCCCTGCAGGACATCATCTTGGTGGCTCGTAGGCCACTGCCTTTATCCTTGGTCGGCACCTCCTTTCCCTAAGGCCAGGCATTTGTTAGATTTGAGCTGGGGGCAGGTGAATCCCTTGTCACCGGGAACTGCAGCAGTGCCGATGCTAAATCCCAGCCCTGCCTCCCAGCCCTGCCGGGGCTCGGCTGGGCTGGGCCAGAGCCCACTGGTGGCAAACCAGGGCAGTGGGGACATGCGTGGGGAGGGGACCTGCTGGCGTCAGTCCCCCTGCTGTGCCCCGTGGCAGGGCTGGACGCTGCCATCCCTCCCTGGAACAGGGCACCCATGGGTGCAGCCCGGGCTGCAGGACACCCTTCTGCACCCACGGGACTGCTGTGGCGGGTGCAGCTGTGGGGGTGCAGGATTCACTCACCCCTGGAGAGGTGCAGGGCTGGCACTGCTGGGGCGAAGCTCCAAAAAGACATTGGAGAAGCACAGGCAACACAGATGGTTTCTCAGCCCTATAAGCAGGCAGAGTGAATAGGACACCACTCAAAAGTGTGATCCCTTTGCTGCTGTGCATCGTCAAGGGAGCCGATTTTAGGGGATTCAGTAAGGCAGAGAACTCCCCACCCCTGCCTGTCTCGACTGAGGCTCCACTTAGCTCCCAAAAAGCAGCTAATTCTTCAGTGCTGAGACAGTCTCAAGACAGCAGCTACAGGAACAGAAAGGGGGTGGAGGTGCCCAGAGGCTTGAATATTCTTATGCACCAAGTCCATCTTTCACGGGATATAAATAGACCCCCTGCTTGCCTGAGGTTTTTCCTCTCGGTCACTGTGCTCAGCAAGTGCTTCTGAAGGGAGTTGAATCCTGACAATTGCTGGGGTGAAACCCATCACAAAGAGGGATGCGGATGATGCTCAAGCACAAGGAGGAATTAAAGACAGAGTGATTCACGCGCTACACCAGCCTGTTTCAGCAATATCACGTCACGGCAGCTTCTGTGAAGCTAAATGAAGATACTCCGGTGGGGGCATGTGTGAATGTCCTCAGTTCAGAGGCAGAAAGACGAACCTGCTCCTTCCATCAACTCAGGAGCTCCTGGAATTTGGGCAGACGGTTCCCAGGGTATTAAGTACAGTATCACCACGTGTAATGGCACTGCAGCAGCAATCCCAGGTGCTGGGAGCCATACAAGCACAATGCAAGAAACAGTCTTGCCCTGCTGAGCTAGAAAGACTAGAAAGACAAAGAAAGATTTATTGTTTCTCTTTGATAGGTGAGAATTACGGGGTAAAGAGATTAAATGACTATATTAAATCCCTGGCCACACAGCCACAAAACGGTGTCCTAGGCTGGGAAGACTCTTGGGGACAAGGCTGAACCTGGGACGAGCACACAGGTGCCATCAGTGCCCACGGGCCAGAGCTGCCAGAGGGGAGAGCAGCTTTTGTGAGAGGTTTTCAGATGTTGTCTGCAGCTCAGAGGCAAGGCTCCATGGAGGGGCAGCCTCAGCAGGGGCCTGGGGGGGGGGTTAGGGGCTGCGATGATCCACACATGGCTGATTCATTCCCCTCTTGCACTCAGTGTCACGGGCAGACCCCGAGCAGTCCCCCTTCCAGCAGGTGCCTTCAACCCGGTGATTCATCTGAGGCAGTGCAGGGAAACGTCCGTGAGGAACCACATAAAAGGTCTTGAAACTGCTGTCTGAAGAGTTGCTTTTAATGAAAACCAGAAAAGGTTGTAAGGTTGTATAAGACCTGGAAACACACATCCCCGATGGGAAGTCAGTGCTGCGCTCCTCAGCCACCCCCAGCAGCATGCTCCCTGACTAACGATGCTGGGGGGTGGTGGTCAATCACTCTAGCAAGCAGGCCAGGATTTCTTTTTGAAGTTCAGCCCAAACGGGTAAAAAAAGACAAGTCCTCCTTGGCCCAGAAGGCTTGTTGGTGACAGACAGCTTACAACGATCCTAGCTGTGGTGCAGAGGGAATACCTGTGGGATCCAGTCTCCATCGCCTGGGTCCACCCTGGCACCAGCTCCACAGCAAAGACCAAGAGCCTGGACCCAGGGGCACAACTGCCCTTCATCCAGAACAGCCTGTGAGATGCTCTGCGCTGCCTTTTGTCTTTAACTCTGCCTCTGTAGCTCCTAGCAAGCATCACGCCACCACTCCGATCCACAGCCACCGCGAGCATCTCGGATTCCCAGACCTCTGCTCTCACCACAGGAATCTTCTTCCTCTCCATCCTGCCCAACACCCAGCACCTCTGGGGAGCACCAGAGTAATCCCCAGCCCCCCGGATGGGTCAGCAGCAGGTGTTTGGAAAGAAGCACTTGCTGCTGTAACTAAGTCCTAATTCTCTGAAAACAAAGCAGCAGGATGTTTATTGACCAGGGTGAGAAAAGCTGTACCTAGGCAATAAAAGTTACTGTGATAAAGGAACAGCCTGTACTCCCTGCTCTCTGAACACCTCCTGACTCTTCAGCAGCTTCTCACCAGAATAGTGCAATAAAACCCAGTTACACTGAGCATTTCCTTCTCCTTTGTCTCTGTTTTATTAGGGAATTGCTTGTTACTTTTTGTCAACACCTAATTGCACTACTGAGAATAGCTGTTTGGCCAGATGCTGTGAGTATCTCAGAAGACTTTTTGTATCCCAGTCTTAGGAGACTTACCCCATAAACAACTTGGAGAACACCAAAAAAAAAAAAAAACAAACCCCAAAAAACCCAAAAATGCAAACCCAAGGTCACAAAAAAATCACCAAGTTCAGTTTTCTCGTATGTATAATACAAATGCCAGTGTGCACCATGAACTGATATTTATAACATCATCTGACAAAGAAACCCACCTGGTCGTTCAATTAACAAGATTAATTTAATGAAGGTCCCCAGTATTTACAACTGAGAGGTTCCCTGAGAAAGCATTAAATAGTGCACTGAGGTCCAGGCTTCGTTCATCACCTGCGATGGCTGCTGGACCAGAAAGAGGGGGGCTTGGTCCCGCACACAGTGCCAGAGCATCCCTCCTGCTGCTTTCCTCTGCCTGTATCCCCCTCCCGTGCAGCTCTCGCAGCCGGCAGCCTGCCCTGCTCCGTGGTGCAGAGGGAAGAAGAGCTCCTGGCCTCCAGCCTTGGCAAAGCATTCCTGGGAGAGAGCTGAGAGATGCTTCCGAGCCCTCCCTTGCTCGTCCCTCAACCCTTGTTAGGAGATTCCCCTGGGCACGGAGCAGAAGCCGGTGAATCCCTCCCAGCCTGGCGATAAGCCTGGTGCTGCTGTGTCCCGAGGCAGAGTGTTTGCTCCCTTACACAGCTCTGTGTTCTGCCTTCAAGGAAAATCTCTCCTTCTGCTCAGGACTGAGGTTTAAGGAAGAAAAAGGATCCCCCTGGAAGCTGGCTGCCACATTCACAAGGCTTTCCTGTAAATCTTCGCTGCCGCCTCTTTTCTTCCCTATTTTACTTCTCGTGCTTGCCAGGGTTTGTGATTCTTCCCAGGGGTTCAAATACTACATTTCCTTCCCTGCATCTCTGCTCCCCACACCAGCCTGTTCCCCAAAGGGTGAGATGTGGGGGGACAGCGCTGAGCAGAAGCCCAGGAGTGGGGTGCCCAGCAGCCAGCAGAGAGAGACAAAGAGCACTGATTGTCCCAGGGATGCTCTGTAAGAGCAGGTCCTTAGGATGGGTGTCCTCTGGGCCAGGGACAGTCCGAGCTCTGGCCACAACCTCAACACAGGGAGATGAGCTGGAGGCAGGGGTCCTGCAAAGAAGGGCTTCCCATGGAGCAGCACATTCGGGGACGAGAGCCATGCAAGGATGCAGGCAGTGCTGCTGCACTGACAAAGATTTTTTTTCCCCCAAACTAAGCGCCCACTTTTCATTTCTAAAGGGCATTTCTCATGTCAGAGTTGCCAATATTTAATAGGTTAGAAGAAAGTTAAATAACATGAAAGTAAGTGAACTGTTGTATCTAGGGGTAAATGCAGCAGGGTTTGTTCTAACGGCAACTTGTAAGAAATTGCTTCCTCGCAAATCTTCTTCCCCTGGAATTTTTTGTTATTGGTCAGCATCCAAAACAACTCCTTATTCGCTCAACTCT